TGTTCTGTGTATCAGGAAACAACAAACAAGTATGATTTCAGCTGCGCTGCGTTACCTTCACATACTCACCCCCCCACCCTCCCCCCACCCTCGTCTCACCCACACAACACAGAGCGCTCCGACTCACCGTTTTCGGATATTTCAATTCCAGTGGAACAAAGCTTGGTGGTTGGGAGAGGAACTTTTTTTTCCTGTGTACGGCGGCAATTAAAATGGCGTGTGGGTTCTGCCTGTTGCATAATTGCCTGGCGAACACAAAGGGACCAATTTTCTCCTGAAACAGAATTGAAGTTTACATTACAATAGTTGAGAGCATGTGGGTGGAATGCAGAGTTTAGATAAGAGCCTGCCAATTAATGTCAAGTGAAATTACAGAGGAGAGAAACAAAGTGTCGGTGGTCAGCGCACGCGGTTTCTGAACGTTTAACAGAGTAGATGGTGACTAAACACGGCGAGCAAAAAGCACAACCCACCGACTGTGTGGCTGAGTTCACATCCGTGTGTGAGTGTGTGTGTGAGTGTGTGTGTGTGAAGCCGTGTTGTGACAGAGAAGGAGCCATTATTACCTATCAGAGAAGAAGTGGATGAATATTTTTCTGATCACAGCGCCTCCGGTGACTCACTGCTCTCAATGCCACCGTCTCCGTTTCTCCACAATATTTTCCAAATGCAATCGTAGTGTGAGGGTCGGGTCGGCCACAACCAACCAAAACAATTTTCTCACACACTTATCCTGTCACCAGGGTGTAATCATGATGAATAAATTGTAGCTCTGAGATGTTTGTATGTAAAGTTTTGTTGTTGTTTTTTTTTTTTTAATCTGAATCATTGTTATAAAAGCTCTACTTTTCAATAATTACCTCCAACACGATGTCGATGTTTGTGCTCCACGTCGTCTGTTTATGTCACTCACTGTGACAAAACAAAATTAAAGTGTTGAGTGTAATGATCATCCTGGCCTGCAGGGACGGCACCAGATTCTCCTGCAGATGTTTTTTGCTTCACGGCACACGTTTGACATTAAACACTGTGAAACTCGGGCCTGTTTAGTTGAACACAGTCCTGATATACTCACAGGAATTGAAGAAAGAACACAGCATGTTTTTTTCTTTTTTTGCAACTTCAGCTACGGCGATCCTTGATGAGGGTATAATCCCAGACGACGTCTTCGTTCTGTTGCTGCATGAAGATGCCGCGTCTTGGTAAATGTTTTTTCTGACCTTTTTTTCTCGTCCTTTAACAACAATGAATCATCAGCAAATACACGTAGCCCAAAGGAATGTGTTATTTTGTACACACCCACACACACACCAGGGAAAATTATACGCTGCTTCCGTGCTGGTGTCAGTGTAGCGTTCTTGACAATATTTCATCTGACCCATAAAGAATTCACACATTGTCAAGGTTTCAACAAATTACAGCGTTACGTTTGCGACAGACAAAAGAAAATAACGAAGCGTGGAGGACAAGCACCGCTAACAGGGACGTTTGAGACCGACCCTCACACACACACTCACACACACACTTACACACTCGCCGATCTCACGGCCTTCCTCCAGACTCCTAAAGCCAATCCATCTTTTTTAATTTCATCCTCTGGGACCTCGGTTGGATCTTTAGCCAAATCAGCATTTAGATTAAAAATGCTAACAGCACCGATATCATCGTCTTTGTGGAGCGAGGGTCCGATCACAGTAACTCGGACCTGGAGATCCGGACTTCCCACCTGGACCTCGGTCTCGGCTGAGTCTCTGTTGCGGTGATTGTCCATTGTGTTTCCTGATTGTGTATTTACAGCCGCTGCTGTGGTCGACTTACAATCTCTTAACCTTTGCCTGACGACGGGGAAACGAACGTCTTCGTCGTCACAGCCTGGTGGGTTAATGACGAGCTTTTGTCGAATGACCTGGAATGAAAAAAAACCACAGTCTGTCAGACAAGAACTTCTGATGAAGGAAGCAACTCACTTTACACAGCTGTCAATTTTACAAAAAAGCATAAAAAAAACCATGAAAATAAAAGTGGAACACAGAACAACTCAGATCAGTTTGAAACTCGTGTTTATATTTCATTACCTCACATGTTTCAGGTCTCCCTGCTCCTCTGGGACCGTCCTCTCCACACCCACCATGGACCACACGTAGAGATATGGACATGAGGTCAAAGGTCACAGAAACTCCCAACCACAGTCTTCAAACTTTTCTGCAGTTTATGGAATGAATGAGGGGTCCCAAATCACCGGTTTGAGGACCAACACCATGCCGTGAAAAATAAAAAGAGTGGATTTTTTTTTTTTTTCCATTTTTTACGCTGGTCTCCAGTGTATTTTATTTTGAAAAAACAATCACTTCCTCGTGCTCCTCTTTGTAATTTACAATGAAAAAAATAACAGAAATAAAATAATGAAATTATTTATGATGATATAAGTAAATAATCACCACTTTTATCAATAAAAAAACAGTCATTTGACGGCAAACTTCAGTCGTGGTTCATTCATTTTCAGTAACAACAAACAGTGCAGTGTTGATACCGCTAACATGTGGAACCTAGTGCAACACGACACAGTGATATTATACTATTAGAAAAGAGAGAGGTCTGTCTGAGACTGTGTCACTGACTGTAAACAAGTGACTTTGAACGAACGGACGCAGACGGCTCAGCTGTCAATCAAGACGACGCGTCTGATCAGGTGATAAAAACACATCTGACGTTGAAGCTAAAAATTAAAAACTTTCAAAACCATTTCAGCTTTTTAAACTTTTTTTGATTAAAATTTTGGCCTTATCTTTTCTTTTTTTTTTCAACTGCACAAAAACAATGAATAACAAGGAATTTATGGAACTGCAGTGAAGTCTCACAACGGGGGATTTTTTTTTTCCGATAAAACTCGTTAAAAAGTCGACGGTCAGACTTTGGCTTTAACACTGTCGGTGCTGTAACTGGTCAGGCAGCAGGAGTGGAAACAACCACCACTAAAAAAAAAAAAAACACTGCTGGTCTTTACTTCTTTTTTTACATTGACCAAAAATAGTCTCCATCTGTTTGGGATAATAATTTCACTGTGAGGGGATTTTGAATACCGTATGTTCCGGACTATGAGTTGCACTTTTTTTTTTTTCATCCTTCGTCTGGGTTTGCGACTTATACTCAGGTGCGACTTGTATATTAAAATATATAATTTCACGTTTGTTATTTTCACAGTCCACAGCCGCTAGAGGGCACTCTAGGCTTGTGTACCAGTGTCTGCTAAGTCATCTACCACTGAAAAATGTACAAAATTTACAAAGCCACTAGAGGGCACTCTAGCTGGCTTTTGCGACTTATACTCCGGAACGACTTATAGTCCGGAAAATACGGTAATTTAAAATCTACTTTTTATAGATTCATTTCTTCTCTAATGACGAAGACGATATCGTTGGTTTGGTGTTTTGATGAGAGTCAATAATTAGATAAAAATCGATCGGTTGAACTGGACTCTCACTCCTCCTCTCCAACCACCCACCATCCCAGCTCCTTCTGGACAGCGTCTCTGTCCAACTGTCCAGCAGTCTCCTTCCAGTCCTGCTCGTGAGGACAGGCTGCCCCAGAGCTCCTCCTGTCCTCTGAGTGGACTGAAGATGGCGCTGGGGAGGACTCTGGGCTGTCTGACAGGAGAACTCCGCTCCCAGAGCTGTACTCACTGTTGGAGTCTGAACCACAAACAAAAAAAAAAAGAGACAGATGGTGAGAGGACATTTACAAAACAAACTCCACACAAGAAAAGACCCGCTGGACGTCCACGCACAGACGGAACAGTCAGACAGACTTTCTGGTGGGAAAAACCAATTGTCCTCAGCAGGTTTTACACGCTCAAAATCCATTCCCACAGAGCGTACGGTTTGAATCCCAAACGGAGGTTAACGTTGATTAAACATTGTCAACGTTCGTTCATTTTTTTACCTCCGTCACAGCTGGTGGCAGATGAGTTGGAGACTCTTTGTATCATTTTGACTTTAAGTCCAAATTGTCCACAGTTTCCTGTAGATTTTTATGTTTCAGCTCAACGTTTGTCTGAGTGACTCCACAGCTGTGTTTTCCCAGCTGCTGTAAACACAGCCTTTAGTAGAGTTTTAATTCAATCATGAAGTTCTGCTTCATGTCCACAGTTGGTGGAGCAGCTCCTCAGATCCACACCTGTCTCACTCTCGTCATCAGTGAACCCTGAGATGAGCCGTCTGGGCCTCAGACTCCACCACACACACAAACTGGAACACCGCTAATTGGACTTCCTGTCTGCTGCTGCTTAGTTAGAAGTGTCCCTCTCAGCAGCGCCATCACATGTCACGTCAGTGTTGCTGAATTTGAGTTCTGCAGGTTAATAAAAAAAAATCAACGTCACCGCCAGCGTGCGCTGACGTCTCTCTGCCACTCGTCTTGGTCGCCGTCTGGATCTATGAGTAACGCTCGCCTCGAGTCAACGTGAACTTTCATTACAGGCTGCAGTCTGTGACACAGAAGGGAGAACAGGTACTGTAACTGTACTGAACTGTACTGAACTGTACTGAACTGAACTGTACTGAACTGAACTGTACTGAACTGTACTGTACTGTACCAAACTGTACTGAACTGTACTGTACTTTACTGTACTGTACTGTACTGTACTGTACTGTACTGAACTGTACTGAACTGTACTGTACTGTACCGTAAGTGTGTAACTAAGGAAGTCTTGAGCCTTCAACAAAGTCGGGGTCATAATGTCACATGACCTTTAACCTACCGGGACTGAGGTCAACTCAGACATGACCCCTGCAGTTCAACTCACAACCTCAGAAACAGAGAGTGATGGAACAGAAAGACAAAACTGCTGATTCTGTCAGAAGTCTTCCAAACGACCCGAGGAAAATGTCAAAACTTTCTCCTCATTAAACTTCCGAGGTAAAAAAACAGGTGAAATATTGGACTGAGATTTCTCACAGAAACGAACGACAGCAAAGAAAAATCATTGAAGGAAATACTTTGAAGGGTTAAGTTATGTTTCAGAAAAATAAATATGAGACTTCACTCTCTCTGAAATTTCCTTTTTTTAAGTCAAACTAATTTGCATCAACAGAAGCAGAAGGATTTTAAAAAGAATATGATAAAGAAGGAAAAACATAAGAACGAGCGAAAAACAGAAAAACAATCAATAAAAACAAATTCACATTCATTTAAACTTTAAAAAAATTCTGGCCAAATTGAAATTATCTTAAATATCAGAATACAGAAAACTGCAGATTTCTTCACAGAAACACGGCTCTTCACCATCTGTGCTGCCTTTAACGCAGATTAATAAATGATGTTTAATGTGTCAGGAGCAAATAACAGATGAGTATAATATTATATTTACTGTAAAGATTAAAAGTACACTTCGTTAACTTCAGATTAAATTTGTTGAGATTCAGATTTTATCGGTAGAATTTATTCAACCATCGTTGAACGTTTACCAATCAAACGTAAAGAATGGGTAGAATTTATTCAACCATCGTTGAACATTTACCAATCAAACATAAATGAATTTATTCAACCATCGTTGAACGTTTTTACGAATTAACGAATTTACATCTATTCTCTATATTTTATAATAATTATGATCATCCACACACACGTTATTAAATACATTTATCTGGACGTAGCTCTCAGCTGCCACCACTTAAATAAATTGAACAGCAAATATGCAAATGAGTGTTGAGTTGTCATCAGCAGCAGAGCACAGTCTCTGGTGACATTTTAACACTTTCTTTACGTTTATTTTTACCACTTTTTTTTAAAGTGATGACTGACTTCTCACGCTGCTCAAAACAACCTGTCCAAACGTTCAAACATCGCGGCGACGGCACGGGCTGAATTCACACCGCGTCACTAATCCATCCCCGAATGACATCACACTCTGTGTAAACGGGCACAAATCCAGGGTCAAGGGGCAAGACTTCAGTCTGAGCCAAAGGACTCTAAAGGCAAAGACGTTGCTGTTTGGGAATAAAGGATTGTGGGTAACAAAATGACAGCAGCTCTTTGGAAAAACACGATGAGGCCAAAGGTCAGTCGAGTCACGAAGACAGGAGGAGAAGTAAGAAGCGCAGAGGTCGAGTGGAGGGGTCAACGGAACAGAGAGGTCACCACTGACCTGGACGCTGCCCAGACCTGAGCTCCAGACCAGTGTGACAGCAGCGCACGTCGCTGTCCTGGAATCATTCATAGTCACTTCCTGCACTTTGTTCTCGTCCAATAGAATGAGGTAAAAACCCCGATCCTCCGGACGTTCATGCACCTGACGGACTGGGCTGCAGTCCAAGGTTTTCACTTTAAAAAATCACACACATCTTGAAGAGTAAATCAAACAACACCGAGCAGAGGTTGTTGAGAAGCTAAAGGCTAATGTGCAGCGCTAACGGAGACAAATTAAAAAAACGAAACGCTGAAAAATAAACCTGTGTTTATTTACCTCTTCACCTCCTAAATAATGTTTACTACAGTGAAGGAGATGTGACCCAGTTCAACACTAGTCTCTAGTGTCCAATAATGTATTCTACTCACAAAGTTTTCAAAATAGGGGGTGTGGCCACCAGGGGGTGCTTGGGGGTCCTCAGAGAAATTAGAGGGAAGATAGGAAAAAACAAATCAAAAACCATTTGTTTTGATGGTACCTGAACGCACCTTGTGCATCAGCAGCAACTGGTGGTTCGCCCCCGTTATCAAGCTAGCGTGTTGCTAGCTAGCACAGAATGGCTGTTTATTTTTCTATTGATGTTTATAATATTTCTTTTACCAGTTCAATTTCCTTAGATTCTCACCTACACTCCGCTACTCTGTGTAGCGGTTAGCATGTCTGCCTTGGCCGCAAAGAGCACATAGTCATGGGTTCAATTCCCAGAGAAACCACATAATCAACGCCTGCAGGGGGCAGCCTGTTGCAGCAGAATTTCCCAAATGTGTGGATCAATAAATTTCAAATTAATTATTATTAAAATCAAATATTTCAGCATCACAGGACACAGTATTTGAGGAGCTTATTAGCACATTTGTTTTCTTCAGCTTCAACTCTTCTTTCGTGCCTTTCAACAGCACGGCCTCGGCCACACAGCTGTTGTAATTAGTTTTCTAAAGGCTTTATTTTGTCCGTTCATTAGACAGGCCTTAGCCAACGGGCGGGCGCCGGGGCGGGCGCCGGCTCCGGCTCCGGCTCCGGCTCCTGTGAACTGGTTTACATGCCAGTCTCAGGGGGATAAATTAGCGTGGAGTGGAGCTGAGTGTGTACACGCTGGTGTATCACTATCAGATAAAGCAGCTTTTCTATACGAAGCCCACGGAGCCGTAAACAACCGCATGAGGAGTGTCAGCGCGCTCCACCACGGTATGATCTGTCTGGGCTTTTCATTAACACCTACAAAGGTGTCAATCACACTTTCCTTTGCTACAGCAGGGCTTCTCATAAACTGAACAGCAGCAGAAGAACAGCCCGACTCCCCGCAGTCCAAACTGAGAAGCTAGGACGGTCACGAGAGGCTAAAGGCTAAAGGCTAAATAATAAAATAAACTGAGTATCACAGTGAAGTGGAAGTCACAGGAATGACTGCAGATGAATTCAGGTGTTATAGTATAAACACGGTGAGGTCTGAACCTCAAAAAAACTGTATTTATCAAGTGTCAAAACAGAATGATAGAAAAACCTAATATGGTAAAAAAAAACAAAACAAAAAAAACAAATTCAACATCTAAATAAATAAATAAATAAATAAAACCCAAATTCAACATCCGATGATGGTGACGACTTTGACCCTGGACGTGAACTGAGTTCTGACCAGAGGAAATAACCCGTTCTACTGCCTCCACTCAGGATTCAACACCTCTGATGAAACCCGTACTTCAACATGCCTCAGTTTTTATGGTCTGCAATATAATTATTGATTCTGGAAGAAACAGTACGATTGTTGCAACAACAAGAAACAGGAAACAGGAATGTGCACAAACTGTCAAGGACCAAAGAAAATTCAAAAGTATTAAAGGTATTCTTCTTAAAATCCTTCTAAAAGTCATGTGATTAATCACCCTCTAATTAATGAGATCGATTGACAGCCATGTGTACAGTTATTAAAGTTTGGACTGTAGCACAGGAATTCAAAAACTGCCACTAGGAGGTGCACCATAAAAACCATGATAGTGACAGAGTTTTTTCATGTAAATAAATATGACCTGAGACCATATTGTTACCTGAAAGTTCTGTGTCACTGTAGGATTCCTCGGGTTCTGACAGCTTCTTCTCCACTTGCCGGGTTTCGGGGACATAGAAATCTCCCTGCCGAGCCAGGGGGGCCATGAACTGGACATGGCGCCCCCTGCAGATCTCAAGAAACGGGTGGGCACAAAGTCGCCGTTCCTGCAAACGAGTCAAACACGGACATTAATGAGCAGTTTATCTGTCAGCATCATCACTCATCAACACGTACTAAATGTGACAAAGTACTACACACACACATGTGTACAGACCTGTCAGTGAAACACACACACACACACACACACTCGCAGTCGATCAGGAGTGACAATAATGTCGTGTGGGAATCTCACAGTTCAAGCCCTGAACTCCGGGGGAATCATCTGCCCCTCCCTGTCGCCCTCACACCTGACGTGTGGCACACTGTAGGCTGAAGGTGAAGCCCCCCTCCTCCTCCCCCCGCCCCCACCCACGGTACTAACTGTTCAAGCAGCTGCTCCACCTCTCCACCACTCTTGCCCCCCCCCCCCCCCCCCCCCCCCCCCCCCCCCCCCCCCCCCCCCCCTCCCCCCCCCCC